GGGTTCCAAATAAAATGAGATAGTGCCGGGGAGGCACACAACTGGGTACTCTCGTGAGGTGAGGGGGAGAGGGCTCGAAGGTGAGGCTGAGAAAGTGAGGGAAACTAGGATCAACCCTTGCCAGTAGTTCGCTTGGTTTCATTTAAACTCCAGTCATAGCGCTCGACAGGCGATTGTGAAGTAATGCGTAGGGGAGCAGACGCATGCTATCTCTTTCGGTGTTCAGCTACAAAAGACAAATGAAGTTCACACAGGGCTGTAATGCAGAGTTAGAGCAATATTTCTGATCTAGACGAGAATCAAGTTCTCATTCATGCAATCAAGCTAACTATGGATATCAAAAAATCTAATCTTTTGTCGAAAAGAAAAACCAGTTCCGGTAGTTGCGGTTTAATTGTTAGGCTCCATACCTGTTGTTGAAATCCTGATATTGTTGGGAGCATCTGCTTTCATTTTTTGTTCCAGCATTGTAGTTGCAGTATGGAAAACCGTATAGACCCCAAAGGGTTTGCTGGCGGAGCTCTCTTGCATCCTTCAGCGATCTCACAATGAATTCCCTGTAGATGAATGAAATTAGTTACTTGCGGGCTAAAACCCTCAGATGGCTGCAGTTTGAGCAAGAATCTGTTTTGCAGTGGTGTCGTATTTCATACTGCTAATCGTTGGAAGTTTTTTGCATTAGTGAACTAGATTGTTTGCAGACCTAGCTGCCTCTTCATACTCCGCTACTGCAGTATTGTTGAGAACAGTGTCATTTCGTTCAAACTCCTTCATGCTTTCTCTCGGTGATCTCTCTTGCTGCAATGTTGTAGACCTATAACTAAAGATCATTCGAATGCACAATTCTTACATGCCAATGCCGGCGTCCTCTTCACTCTCTCAACTGCGAAACTTTTTTTGTTGCAATGCTTTTGTTGCAATGCCTTTCAGTGACATACATTCTATAATAGCCTGGGATTGTATCATTTGTTTGTTCTAATGGTCCGCTCTGCAAGCTCAATATTGTTCCAGTATCGCGATCATTTAGTGAGTGAC